CAGCAGCAGCAGCAGCAGCAGCAGCAGCAGCGGCAGCAGGAATGCCAGTAGCAGCAAAAGCAGCAGCAGCAGCAGGAATGCCATTAGCAGCAGCAGCAGCAAAGGCAGTATCGGCAATAAATGCTAGTAACAGCAGCAAGAACAGCAGCAGCAGCAGTAGCAGCAACAGAAGCAGCAGCAGCAGTAGCAGCAACGCAAGCAGCGGCAGCAACAGCAGCAGCAACAGCAGCAGCAGCAACAGCAGCAGCTGCAGCAGCAGCAACAGCAGCAGCAGCAGCAGCAAGAAGCGATTGTTACCCCTCAAGTCTACCCTTCGGCGGATTTCATCATCTGCAGCAAAACACAAAACCCCACACAAACCACCGCCTCCTCAGCAGCAGCAGCAGCAGCAGCAGAAGCAACAGCAGCAGCAGCAGCAACAGCAGCAGCAGCAAGAGTAGCAGCAGCACCAACGGCAGGAGCAAGACCAAGACGAACAGCAGCATCTGCAGCAGCAGCAGCAACGGCAACAAGAGCACCACCAACACCAGCAGCAGCAGCAACTGCAGGAGCAGCAGCAGCAGCAGGAACAGCAGCAGCAGCAGCAGCAGCAGCAGCAGCAGCAGCACCTAGTTGTTCTCTGGTTGCAGCAACAACAGCTTCTGCTTCTGCTTCTGCTTCGGGGCTCTGAGCCTGGGCGTGGCTGACGAGGTCCCCAGCAATCAACACACACTGCACACAAACCCTAAACCCTAAACCCTAAACCCTAAACCCTAGACTCTGAACTGTAAACCCTATTCCTTAAACCCTAAACAACAGACCCCAAGACTTATGTTTAAGGTGGCCATTCGTTTCCTCCTCTACGCTCTGAGGGTTTAGGGTTTAGGGTTTAGATCTAGGGTTTAGGGTTTAGGGTTTAGGGTTTAGCATTACCATCAGCTCGGTCCCCAGCTCGCCGCTAGAACCAATCAAACCCAGTATCTCTCCTGTTCACACCAGCAGCAGCAGCAGCAGCAGCAGCGGCAGCAGCAGCAGCAGCAACAGTAGCAACAGCAGCAGCAGCAGCAGTAGCAGCAGTAGACCAAGCGGTAATATTAACAAGATAAAGAAAAGAAGAAAAGTTGAGGGTTTAGGGTTTAGGGTTTAGGGTTTATATATATATACCTCTAGGTAGAGGGTGTTTAAAAGACCAA